AACGAGCAAATAGCGGCGGCCCTCCAATTTCGTTATAACGAGGTTTAACTGTATAGTGTCGGGTTTTGCAGGAAGAAATACTGAATGAAAGAACTCATTTAGGTATGTTGACTTTGCTTTGTCGTTCGTTACGATTTGGTTATTTGCAAATAGTTTCTGGAATGCCCAGATCACTTGATCCACATCCCTTTAAATACTTCCAAAAAGCCTTAAGGTTGGTTTTCAACCTTTCATTAAGTCCCTTGAAATAATTTTTTTTTGCAATCTTAGTAGTGAGCTTGTAATGAAGCGTTATTGGTGCCAGTCTCTCATGATGAGCCTTGCTCCATATGATGGTAGACTATTCCAGTATGCTATTGATGATGGGAAAACAGAGTTTTTATGGATGTCATTGTGACTTTCAGGCAGCCGTTTTCTCTTGTTGTGGTTAGTTCTTGAGGAGTGTCTGAGGGGTTGAAGGAGATGTTCTCTTCCGGATATTTTATAATGGTCATTAAACAGATCATACAGACATTTCAGTTTGGAAATTATTCTGCATTGATGAAGACAACAAAGCTCAGCTTTTTTGCGCAGAGAATAATGCCGGTATGCCGAGAATAATTTGAAAACCCAAATCGGACTGCTAATTTTTGAACTCACTCAATTTTTTTGACGAGATATTCGTGATGGCGACTCCAAATTATGCCGGCATATTCAAGTGCTGGTCTAATTAGTGTCTTATATGCAGTTAGCTTACCCTCAAGAGGTGCGTCCCTTAGTCTTCTCTTGACAAACGACAGCTTTCTTTGCGCTTTTGCACAAATAGTCGCTATATGTGGTTCCCAACTGATATTGGATGTATTTTACTTCGTTACTTTTGGCAATTTCCGAATTTCCTAATTTGTATGTGAAATTAAGAGGCTTTTTCTTGTTTGTAAAATTTATGGCTACCATTGTCCTTGCGTTCAGCGTCATTCCCCATTCTGAGCGCCATGCCTGAATTTTTCATAGCAAATGATTAAGGTGAAGCTGGTCCTCAATGTCACTTACCGTCGTGTATACGCCGCAGTCATCTGCGAAGAGCCTTAGTTGAATAGATGGGTCGACGCAAAAAGAAATGTAATTAATATAGATAAGAAATAGAATTGGCGCTAATACGGATCCCCGTGGTACGCCTGACAAGACGTCTAGGCTGCTTGAGATATTGTTGTTCACGGAAACGAATTGTTTGCGATTTTTTAAGTATGACATTACCCACTGAATAACTTTATGTTCAATACTAATTGCTTGCATTTTCATTATGAGGTCATGGTGGGAACGACGTCAAAGGCTTTTGAAAAGTCTCTGAAAAACGGCATCTGTTTGTCCTGTTGTGTTGAGTGTATTTCGCGTAATAAACACACTCACATAATAAGCGCATCCCCAACTTCAGTCAACAAAGTCTGGATTTTTCTTTTCCCCGAGTAATAAACGCACCCACTCATTCGTCTGCTGCAGTCCCGCTAATCAAGACCTGGCGCCTCCTTGACCATTGCATCTCTTCCGTTTTTTTTATTATGTCAACTTTCTCGGCTACCTCGCCTTGCTCCCCCCTCTCGCCCACTGCCATGCGCCCTGTGCACGGCATGTACCCAATCTTCCTGATCTATGCCCAATCTATGCTCCAAAGCGGGGTTCACGAACAGTGCGAGTGTAGAAACATCGCATCTGACAAGCACAGAGCGAGAGCAGGTCACGAAACTTCCCGTGCCAACCGATGGTCACTTCCTGCAGATACGAAACTTTAAGGCCCAACCACATGCTTGGAATTTTCGAGCGACGACAGGATTTGCTGTCGCTATGGCTGTCTCGAAGGGCCATTCGTCACCATCACGTCGCAGATTTCCGGAAAGGCAGAAAAAATCATTTGTTGCCCAGAAAATATCGTGACTATTTCCGGAACATGGCCCCGATTCTCACTTTGGTTGCAAGCCAGGCGACCACCGTACTTTGTCGTTAATCTTGTTATTGACAGTTTGTTTTGATGCTTCGGTGGTAGCTTGCAGCAATGTTGGTTGCTTGCTTGCTTCAATGTCAACGACGGCGGCGCGGTCGTCAAGCGAGGTTGCCACGAAGTTGGCTAAGTGCTTCATGGCATCATAGCGCACGCTTTTGGGCGCCCTTCGAGATCCAAGCAGATACTACTGTTGCAGTTCAACGATTGCAAGAAAAGATATCCTTGAAATGCTTTTATGGCGTGCAAGGGCGGCACGGGAACAGCTTGCAGAAGATAGCGCCTTCAACCCCAGAGGATGAGTGAAGTGTAACAAAGAAGCGTAGTGACCTAACTTTATTTGTATTACCGCATTTTTTTAGCATTACCGCATCTCATACCGAAAATATTTTGATAAAATTTTCTCCGCATTGTAAACGGACCCCTAACTTTGCTCCGATTTTTCGAGAAAAAAGTGCGTTCATTATGCGAGTAAATATGGTAGTATCGTATTTACTCGATTCTACCGCGCCTTCGATTGTAACGCGCACCCGATTTCCACCGCGAAAAAAAAAAAAAAAATGCAAGACATCGATTGCAACGCACACCCATTTTTCTCGCCGGCCCGCACGATCACACCACTCGAAAAAACGACTTCTTCGGGAGCGTATTCCATTTAAACATGAGGTACGGGCGAAGCTTGTGCCCATCTGACGTGTAACAGAGCTTTCCGTCACGGTAGTTTTACCGTGGACCGATGTCAGCACGCGAACTTGCTTCGCCCCCTTCTTCTCGACAGTTGTGGTGCCAGGCATGTCGAAGTACAGAGGCGTCTGATGGGCATTCCCGATTTGCCCAAGCAGGTAGCCGTTGTTGCGCCGCAAGTTTAGGACGAACCTCTGAAAACTGTGAAGCTTTTCATCGTACTCTTCTGCAAAACTTTTCGCATATGCATGTTCCCCTTCGGAGGGAAAAGCCTTTCCTCTAAATAAAGTTAGTTAGCCAGCACCTGCTCGCTTTAAACTGGCTCTGCATTGGACCTTTTTCCAAGACTAATTGCATAGCCCGCACTTGGAGCAGTTCTGTCGTCACGGACCGCTGTGCCGCTCGCTGCTCAAGCACATACTTGCCGAGCAGCTCTTTAATTTGAGAAAACCGACCCTGCTGTGGTCTACTGAAGCCTTTGCGTGAAGCTTTGCTGTCGAGAATCTTCTGCTTTTGTTTCCGCCAGTCCTGCACGCACGTTTCGGGAACTCCGAACGACCGCAATGCGGCCCGATTTCCGTCCGTTTCTGCACACGCCATGACTTTTCTTTTAAAAGCGCCATCGTGGTGCTATCGAGTTTTTGGAGTCGGCCCTTCCACGCCGTCGATGCTAATGCACTACTAGATGACGAACTCCTCAGCACATGTACGAAGTGCCGCACATGGGAAACACATAGGCAGAAATGGCCGACGCGCCATGCCGACGCACGTAGGGGGCGGCCATTTTGGATTTGCCGATGGCAATAGATTGACCATAATTTTTTCGTTCGTGCTCGATTCTAACGCGCATGCAATTTATAAGCTCGCCTAACCGGAAAAAAGGTGCGCGTTAGATTCGAGTAATTACGGTATACCATCGTGCCTAACAGTGTGCAGCTAGGCGTCTTGAACACAGGAGCGTGGGAGGGAAGAAAGAAAGGGAAAGACACTTTAGCTCTACTACACTCTCTCAGTTGTACGAGAAACGGTCCGCCCACAAATAGACTATGAAACAGCCTGATGCAATTGATGTAAAACGTCATGAGGCTTAGTGGAACAGCTCATCGCTAAACGACCGCATACCATCCACAAACCAATAGTTTGATGAAGAGTTTAAACAAGAGGCTCGCTGACATGCTGCCCATATATGTTGACCACGATCACAAAAGGTGGAATTACATTTTGCCATACGTAACGTTCATTTACAATACTACAGTTCAAGAGACTACAGGTTTGACTCTTTTTCCGGTTGCTTTACAGTCGAGAAGCAATTACCATGCTGGATGCCATGCTCTTACCTGACATGACCGACATTCCTACTGATGCGAACGACTTTATCTGGCTCGCCCACGTGGCCCGAAAATTTGCACTCATGCGAACCCGTAAAATATAAATAAATAAAACTCATAGAATCGCAGAAGTAGAATAGAATTCTCGTCATCGCCATGTAATTTACCACCCCGGTGATCTGGTGTGGCTGTGGACTCCCGTTCGCCAAAGGGGCCGCTCGGAAAAGCTGCTACTTCCCCGCTACTTCGGTCCTCATAGAGTACTACGGCGCCTCAATGATGTCAACTACGAAGTCCTGCCTGTAGACACAGCTCGGCGATCTCGACGTTCCCAGCAGGCAGACATTGTTCATGTATCAAGGACAAAGCCACACTACCCCCAAACCACCTGACACTGCTTCATCATGCTTTTTTGTGCATGTGTGCACTTATTCTCACTTTTAATTGGCATTGAGCACAGGGACAGCAACATTTATTGAAGGGGAATAATGCTACGGGCACGAAACGTCATGCCAATGCGTGTATGTGCCATTGTGATAAAGAAGATTAGGCGTTCGTGGTGATCGGTTCAGTTCAACGTCTAGTGCTCCTGTGAACAGACGTGTTCTATCCTTATCACGTCACAATATTTTACATCAAAAAGTTGTAAAGATATGTTCATGAAATTTGAACAGTGTAGCATTTAAACAGCAAGAAGTACTTCCAACAAGTGTATCAATTTTCATCCATATCTACAAACAAGTAAAAAACTTGGTACTAGCAGCCAGGTCCCTTTAATAGAGTGAAATTTGGTGTCGTCATCTACTGGGTTGCTGTCAACAAATGTTACATTTTTTGGCAATGGCCTTGACAGGGCTTGTGTACATCATTCTGAGAAATTCGTATGAATGTCCTTGTGGCTGCGTGCTACTAACGAGTGGTTGTCTACTTTCCATTTCTTAACCCTTCCGCCACCTTGCGGGTTTCCACAGAACTTATTTGCAATCATGAACATGTTCAACATACTACACACGCACCTGGTAGCTGCGGCTGGTGACTGTGGCATCATCTGTAAAAGAGAAGGGTGTGGTGCGTCGCCAGCACGCATGGGGGTCGATGTCCGCTGCATGCCTTCCAGTGGGCCCATGTGGGGCTGGTTCAGAAACTGCACGAAGAAAAGTGCAATCGAGGCTTCAACCCAAGCTAGATTACCTGATGAGAAGACTGCTTTCAGTTATCAGGAGCTGACTCTATAATAAGCAACCACATTATTCATGTCACCTTACGTATCCGACGCTCTACCAAAAATATCGGAAAAGCTTCGAGGGCAATTCTTCTTTCAATATTCACGTCTCAATTTTGGAGCTGTCACCATTATCATGCAGTTTAACGCAATATTCGGACATGTGACGTGTGTCATTATTTAAAGAAATTGCATCCATTAGTAGAGTACTAATGTAGAGCAGGTTTCAAAATTGGTTCTTCTCACAATACCGTTTCATTGCTAAGGCTACAATATTCCCAACACTCTGGCAGCACTTCAACAATCTTCAGCTGACCAGGGTTGCGTCTGCTAGCACCTCCAATATGAGAGGTAGTGGCAATCATTGCCAGAGCTTTAATCCAATGAGAGTGCAGCAGTCTCCTTTGACATTCAGTGACGAGTGGTCAGCAGAGCTAAATGCGCTGCCAGAGCTCAACGAGAATGCAATAATAGATTCGTGCACTTGGAAACTCATCTGGACAGCAGCTGCAAAATGCATGCCACTATGCAACCTAAATTTATGCCAAACTTTCTACGGCAAGTGTGCTTAGTTTTTAGAAAGGCTTCAGCACACATAGACGGTGACGAAGGAAGAGCACACAAGACATACCACTGACTTACAACTGATACTTTATTTCTTATGGAGCATACTTCATGGATCTAGCAAGCCAATAACAGCACTCTTAGGCCAAGCACCAACAAAAGATAACGTTAGACAATAACACTCATAATTTTACACACTGCCTATGGCTTATCATCGTTCTAAAATACTACCTCCGTTTTTTGAGTGCCCCAGAAGAAGCAAGTTTATTTGTGACTATCAATTTCATATGCTTCTACATTTTACTGCACAGATCAGCCTATCCTTTTCTTTTCCGATAACTTAAGTTGTGCCTGTGAACTGCTTTTTGGCAGTGACATTTAGAAGCTTGCTCCATCAGAAATAAAATATAAGTTGTAGTTCAGCTCTTGTCTTGTGTGCTCTTCTTCCCCGTCTATGTGAGCTGTAGCCTTTCATGATGCAATAACAACCTGCTCACTAAGCATGCGTGCTTTGAACGAAATTGTTTGTGCTGCCACGCATTCCCGAAACGTGTGCTGCGGATGTCTCTCCATTGTTGTCTTTGCTGCATCACAAAGTGGCGCTAGTTGTTGCTAGCACATCTTACCGTGCTTCTTTGATCATTTTTTTTTTTTTGCTTGGCACATGTTGCCACATTTTGGGAATGCATTGAGTTTTTTTCATGCGCCAATCACAAAGTTTTCTTCCATGCGCTCACACACGCAGCTCACTTACGCTACGGACGTGTGCACCTGTTGCTCTGGCACAAGGAAATTGAATGGTGATTCTTCCGATGTGGAATATTTTTTGAAGTACCAAATCAGAATCTCGTTCATTGGATTTCAGTTCGTCAAACGAAGATTTGCTTATCAGTTCAAATTTGGATGATAATGAAGAAGCAACATCTTGAAAGCGTGTGCAGCAAGACGTTCTGGATCGTACCAAAGGTGACCCAGTGTTTAGTGTTAGAGCAGACACGTTTTTTGCACAAAAAGTACTCGCGTGTGATTATTTCTGTATGTCAGTGAGCGATGTTTAATCAGTGAGAAATGTTTAATACAATGCGTAATACTCATAAAAAATTGTATAGGTGTTTTTCTTTAGGATTTTCCTTGAAGCAGCTATGAATAAACCACATTACGTAACACAAATGATTTTTTGTTGCTTTACAATCATGCAAAAAAAAAAAGTTTCATTTTTTACCTGAAATAGAATCAACTGCAAAATTTATTTTAGCAAAAAAAATTTACAGCTTTGGACTCTATTTTATGAAAAAAATTCAACCCTCAAAGGGTTCATACGGCATGGTGTGGTTTAGCGCATAGAAAATTTGGCACACAGAAGACAGTGCCTGTCCCGAGTCTTCTCTCTGCGTCCAGCTTGCTACGCACTACACCGAGCCATTGATCAACACCATCAAGCTTCAACATGAACCAGGAAGGACCACTAGAAGTAAACGAGACAGGCACAGCATGACGCTAAGAACAGCTTTTCATAGAAATGCTTATACCTGCCACAATTACAAAACCTTGCATGTACACATCAATTACAAAACCTTGCATGCACACATTAAAAACATAGAGCATACACAAGAACAGTTATTTCCAACAATAATGTTCACGCATGAATTCATGTTCGGACAAGGATATAGGATACAATCATCTGCCTTTTTTTTGTATGGTGTGCTTCCAAGGCAAGCCGTGCATAATCATTCTTACTTCTGCTCAGAATCAATGCCTCAGAAAATCACAGAGCAAAGCTGCCGAAGTAGCAACAAGATGTGCTGCTTTGTCAACACTATTATTTAATTTTTTTTTTCACATTCTGTTTAAGTAACTAATTTATGCAGCCTGATGTAGGTGTTGCCACAAGAGAGAGGTCTCGTATATACCACACAGACGCCCTGTTTGCAGATGCCATGCTAGGTTAATAAAACATGGTTAATATACTTACATGTCAGCACACCCCATGTGCCCCCGACTTTCACTGACATTAGCAGTTTTCGGTGTTCTTCCAAAAGTTTAACTGATACAATTATCTTTCCGTTTATTGATGCCTCAGTTGAGATTCGTAAAATCGTAAGCTCATTTTACGAGAAAACCAGAAGCGTTGATAGTTACCGGTAAGAGACAGCCCCACCGCAGCGTCACTGGAGGCTTACGTCACCGCTAGTGGCTATAAGCCCAAACTGCCAAGCTTGGAAACTACCATTGTTACTCTAACCGCCGTTAGAGCACAGCTTCGGCATGCTCGCCACGCCGCTGCTACAACCAGGAGTGGGAGATGATATAGGCTCCAACCAAAAGTTTTTAAGAGACCCGACGTTTCGAAACCGACTTGGTTCTTTCTTCAGGGGTGACTGCGTAAGCTACGTAGCAGCAGCGTCTTCAAATCACTCGAGGGGCGGCTAATGACCCCTCTCTCTGTCTTTCTCGAGCGCAGTCCGTGTGTGTACACTGGGGGAAGGGTTTCGAGAGAGCGGTTGATGTTGTGGGCTATTCCCTGAATGTGCTACGACTCGAGTAACAACCTTCTCCTCCAGTTCGGCTCGCTTTTGAGGATGGCCGTCAGTTCGAAATTTATCTTGTGGTCCAATGTCTCCGCATGTTCGGCGACTGCACTGCGCTCTTTGTACAACTTCCGCACATCGTTGGCAAGTTGCTTCAGTCGCTCCGGTAGGTTTTTCGTCTCGCCGATATACGACGCGGGGCACTCGGCGCTTGGAATTTCATAAACGACACCGGGGCTCCTGTCCATTGTTGGCCGGTCTTTCGGGCGGGGGAGGACGCGGCCCAGCGTACACGAAGGCACGTGCGCGATGCGAACCCCCGTCTTCTTGAAGCTCCGCGCCAGCGTCTCGCTGGTTCCCTGAACGTATGGAACCGGTACGCATTTTGGGGGGCTGCCAATTAAGGTTGAATAGGGTTCCCTAATCCTCTGTTGCTCTGCACGGCGGGTGGCAGCTCGAATGAAGTTTTTTGGATATCCGTTTTTTCTGAGGTCAGCAATTACGCGGGCCTCTTCTTTCTTTCGCTCTGTGTCATTAGAGCATAAGTTCCTGGCTCTCTCGAGTAGCGTGGTCACAACCGAGGCCTTGTGGCAGACGGGGTGGGAAGAGTCGAATCGAAGGTAGCGGCTAGTGTGCGTTGGCTCCTTATGAATGAAGAACTCCAGGCCATTGCGCTTTCTTGCCACCTGGACGTCAAGAAAGGGCAGGCACTGGTCGCTCTCACACTCGGTCATGAATTGTAGGGCTGGGTGCACGGAATTCAGGTGTTGTATGAAGTTTTCAACTTCAGACGTCTTAATGACGCAAAAACAATCGTACATATAACGCAGAAAAAGCTTGGGTCGCGGCGAAAAGGAGCTGAGTGCTTTTTCTTCTATGTACTCCATGGTCAGGTGTGCCATCGTGACGGATATGGAAGCTCCCGTCACGGTTCCGCGTTTCTGCCTGAAAATAGTTCCTTTGTAGGAGAAGTACGTGCTGGAGAGGCAGAACTCCACTAGATGACAGAGCTCGTCAACCGCCAAAGGAGTCCTTTCACTCAGGCTTGCGTCCTCCTCAAGCGCAGAACGGGCAGCGTAGACAGCTAAGGGAACTGGCACGTTGGTAAACAATGACACGACGTCAAATGAGACCATGCTCTCGTCATCACCGATGCTCACAGCTGACGCTAGCTGCACGAAGTGGCTGGCGTCACAGATATGAGTTGGTGTCCCCCGGGTTAGTGGGGCGAAAATTTGGTGTAGGAAATTTGAAAGGGCTTGGCATGGGGAGGAAGTGAAGTCTACAATCGGTCGCAGGGGAACGTCTGACTTGTGAATTTTTGGTAGTCCATAAAAACTCGGAGCGGATCCGTTACGGCAGATTAGTCGCAGGTAAAGTGTTCTGAGATCCAGGTATTGCTTGAAAATTTCCGCGAGTAGCTTGTTTAGCTGTGTCTGGGTTTGTTTCGTTGGGTCCTTTACTAGCTGCGTGTATGTGTCCCCGCTGTCCAACACCACGGTCGAATTGCCCTTGTCGGCGGGCAAGATAACAATGCTTCGGTCCCGTCGGAGTTTCCGAAGTGCCTGGTTTTCCTCCGTGGTCAGATTATTTTTCCTTTGTAACTGCAATTTCGAAAAGATCCCAATCGATTTCAACCTAATTTCTTCCCAGGCGCACAGCCTCACGCTTTGGATGGCTTCCTCTACAGCCGCGACAAGTTTCGGTAGACGGGGCGTCGTTGACATGTTATAGTCATGTTCCTTTGCCAGGACAGAGGTTTCCCGATCAGTGAGTGTATGAGATGAAAGATTGGTGACAAACCTGGAATTTTCAGTGCTTGGGGTGGCA